CGCATCTGATTGGTTGCGAAACAATTAACATTCCAGAAATTTTCTCTGGTGTTCACGGTATTATGGGAAAGACTGTAAGTGCCATTCTCAAACTCATTAATAATTCATCAAGTTTAAAACAAAGGAAATCATGACCTTGACGGTGTTTGGATATCTGATCTTGATTAGCAAAGAATTTTACGATTTTAATTCTCCTGTTTCTCCTTCATTTTAATTTTGATTGAGAACATATATCAAACACTCAAGACCGTGTTTGACCAAATTTCCAAACACCTCGTAGTTCGTCAAAAATACTCCGCTGTGCATCATATTTTCAACTCTGTTCTCGGTGTTTGGAATTGTGGTCAAACACGGCCTTTCATGTTATATCTATTACTTGAACTCTTCCTTCTAGTAATAAGTAAAGTACATTGTACTCCAACACAAACACAACTTACTGCATTGATTCCACTAAGCTGTTGACCCAGCTGTAACACAACACTTATCAGCAATGGAATTCTCAGTGCTTTCATTTGAAGCAGGCTGGCCACAGTGACTACCTGCTCTCTCAGCTGATGTTCCTGTTCAATCTGTCAGTCAAATCATTTTAATGCTATCAGTTATGTCACTACAGAGCACTCATTCTGACTGTTTTTGACAGTTAAATATTTTGAGGAAAAAAGGTTATGACAACGTACCCTCATTTCTTCAATGTCCATCATTACATCAGTAGTTCCTCTTAGCTTATTCAGGGCTGTTTCCAAAACAAAAAACAAAATATTTTCATGGTAAACAAGGGCTAAACTTATTATTATTGCACTCCACACAGATTTTAACTTTGAATGATTTTTCTTTAACGTGCTTGTTCCTTTAATGAAATACTGGAATGACATTCAAACTGAGACCAGCTCGGGCCTTAAAACCATAAGCATACAAGCGGGGAGGGCCGGGTCCAGCTATGGAAATCATGTTATTTTTCAGGCAAAATGCTCATGATTCAGGCAATGACACTTGAAAGAAAACATTACAAAATAATGCTGTTGGCGTGATTTCCAAATCTCCTAAATAAAGTTTCTAGTTTCATTCGAACCTCCTGTAAGCGACCACCCAAAATGTCAAACCTTGATGGTTACTTATCGGAGGTAGTCATTTACGAGAGCTTAGACCATATTGGGTCCAAATTTTGCCTCATTAGCATATTTTCTTCACATTTTTAATGCTTTTGCGCGCACGCACACACACACACACAAAACTTTACAAACACATAACTTTCATTAAAACCCTCCTACTAACATAAGCGCGAGTAATTACAATGACTGCTAATACTTTACATACAAGTACCGTAACTTATATTAATACAAAGATACCAACGATAACATAAGTAATTACAATAACGCTAGCACTAGTTACATTTTTTTTGACAAATCTAAACATATATTCTAAGTGTTTTTAATTTACAGTATTTCCCTTATTGTTATTCAAAATCTACATAAAGGAAGAGAAATAAGGAGAAGAAGAGGAACTTTGCGTTGTAAAACACTGATTAATCTTTTCGATTTTATACTTGTATTTTATTTTATTGATGAAATACTGATTTTAAAGGCAAACTTAAAACAAATTTGTTTTCTAAAGCGTTTTTATTAAAATCCGAATAGTATTGCAATTTCTTGGAATTTTAGATTTTAGTTAGGTATAAATTGTANAGCCTCACAAGTTTTAACTTTTTGCCAATGTTTAGGTCTCAAAGGAGAAAAAAGTGCCTTGTTATTCAATCATTGTTTACTACTTGGTAGATTTTACATTTATTCTTGTAAGTGCAAAAATGTTCGACCATCCTCAATAGAATACGTTAATCAGGTTAGATGCAATTTAAAAGTAGAAAAACACGTTTCAATTATTACGGGAACACAAAACGCTTTCCAACAGAAGTGGCACAAAATACTCCAGTCATTATAACTTCCTGATCTCTCCTTTCAACTTTTGTTTTAACAGGTAATTTAATTAAACGATATTTAGGTTCTCCTTTACATTTTTGAACAGCTTTTAACTTAGTATTTCATGGCCCATAAAATTACTTTTACCTACACAATACACTGTATATTTATTTGAATTGTCAGTTTTCGGATTTTTGCAAGTACAGCGTAAAATCCAACCCAAAGTAAGGCCAGCCCTTACCAAGTTCACACAGCCCTTAACATGTTTGCATTACACGTAAATTGATGTTCATGTTCATGTTTAAGGATTATTCCACTTCTAAGAGCTCTGCTGTACTTGTACCTTGCACAGTCTCTGCTTCTTTATTTAGGTTAAGTAATAAATAACGTGGACTTCTTGGAGAAAACGGGAGGGTTAAGAACTGAAGCATGGCAACAAGAAATCCAAATCCAAGTGAGTAAGGCCACCCATCATCTGTACCAAGCATCTGCAACATAAGTCATTGCAAAGTAAATCAACTAACTTTTCCAATCCAGTACATGTACAAATTTATACTATTGGTTTTCTTTTCTTGTCTTTTAGTAGACATGTCCCCGGCTAAGGGTTAACATGACTTGTGCAGATTGCAAATTCAATGATTGTGCATGATTGTAATAAAACCAGAGACACTGGAACAGCCTGAAATACCACTCTAAACACAGCACGGGTCAGTGGAATTATCCAAGTTAAGTTTATGACCCAAAGCCAAATAATAATATAATATTATTGACTGCTGCTACCCTGGCCTTACGATTTAATATTTCTTACATGTATTTCACACACTCAGTTACATTCGGTTGTGAAATACCAAGAGTGAAAAAAATAGGTACGCAGTGCATACATGGTCAGACATGCAATTTCCTTATTACCTTATTAAGAGTAAAAAGTGTTGTAGTGATCCTTCGTCATTTTATTTGAAACATGAACGATGCATATATGAATGTAAAACCAACTACTAAATAATGACAGATTTTTTTAAAGACATAGTGAGTCTTTAAAGAACAAGTAAAGACCATTTATTGCAAGCTTGCTCAGATGACAACTCAGATGGTACAAATATGGAATGATTTCTACTACTCTGGTCATTATGTACTGTCTTGTGAAACCTTATCTAGCCAAGTTATACTTGTTTACACTGGGAAGTCTGTTATGCTGAAAATGTGAAGTAGGCTAGGCCAATAAGATGTAACCATTTCAGTGTCCTACAAGCAGAATAAAAGAGGATATGAATTATAATCAATATAATTTATTAATAATCCTTTATATTAAATGAGCTTTGACATTTCCTGCCAAACTTTCACTGAAGTGCAAGCTAAAATTAATGTTAAATACAAACACATTCTATCAATGGTAATTCACATACATGTAGAAGCAAAAACGTTTGCCGAGTACACTTTGACAGCAAGCTGTATAAACCTATGTGTAAAGATCTGAGCCATAGCAGCAGCATTGAAATCAGTCTATGGTGTTGATAAACAAAGTAAATTAAAGAGTTTGCTACACAGTCTTCCCTGTGAGTAAGGAGCAGAAATAGTTTAACTGACATCAGAGTCAGTCACAACTGGGGCTGGGTTTGTTTCAACGCAGACAACACCCCTGGCAAGGCTTAATTCAGGGACATTTAAGAAATAGAAAACACAGAGAACATGTTTTCTATTTCTTTTAGGAAACACCGTGACGAAAAAAAAAAAAAACAGCTTGTTTACTTTGATCATCAAAATGTAAATTCTCTTTGTTCGTGCCATCATTACGTCAACAGCTCGTGCTAGTTCTGTGTTTCCATCGAGCTATAGAAACACGATTTTTAACCAATCAGCGGGCATATTTTCTTAGGACTGTTTTCTAAAAGCTTAAGAGAAACGATAGAAAAATATCTGTGTAAGCCAGAGACAATTCATTTTCGTTATTTTGAAATAACGAATCAGTACCGCTAAATAATCCGATGTGAGGTAAAACAAAAGCAGCATAGCACACCATAATTTTTCCTTGAAGCATCCTCGATACTCCCTGAGAGCTTAACTGGACGTGGCAGCTGGACGTGTCACAAAATCCCTGGTTAAGTCTAAACCGACGGTTTAGACTATTGGCCACGCAGGCTAGGTAAGCTTATTATTTTGCTCAGGTTTGTTAGAAAAATGCTTCAAGGTTATCTCAAAGTCACACAATCGTGCGATCGAAGTCAGCTATATTGACTTGAGTAAGGTGTTACTTGAGTATTGATTCCCGCGCTGATGCAAGGTGTTTGTATGTTGTAATCAAATTAAAATGAAGAAGAAATACTCACGTTTTGTTCTGATAAAAAGCCACGTCACACACAAAGAACTTGCTGGTTAACAGCTAAACCACACACATAGAACTTGCTGGTAAACAGCTACCCCACACGATAAAAACTTGCTGGTAAACAGCGATGCAACGCAAAAAGAACTTGCTCATAAACACCTACGTCTTGCTCGTGAACAGCTACGCCATATTCTTAGGGGGCGACCTTGAAACTTTCAGGGGTTGATGAGAGATGGGTGGGTGATTCAAGCTGAGCATGAATTTGATTTATTTTTGGACCCTGAACGCTCAAAATATATCTTTCTCAGCCCTCTATGATTTTCTTTTCTTGTTATATTAGTGACTATTTTTTTTTAGTCAATAAGCAGCTGGGATTATGTTTTTCATCGCAATTACCCCACCCCACTCCCCTCAGTAGAACATTTTGCAATAGCTTGAACAGCCTGCCAGCCATCCAGTCTGCCTGAGGCCGGGGGGTGGGAGGGGGAGAGAGACTTCGCATATGAAAGGGTGGGGATGCTCGTCGGAAATTTTGAATTAAACCCCTAAAGGAGACTGCAATCATGGCATGGCCCAGGATTTTTTGAGCCCCTAAAGAGACCATATTTAAAACATTAAATTATTATATATTTTTTATATTTCTCCACGTGAAACCCTAAACAAGACCTTCACGGCTACATATAGGCTACATATGCTGGTGTTTTGCCCAGAACACTCCAAGTGAGACCAACAAGACGACAACTATCCCTACCCCTTTCATATGCAAGTCCACCCCCTGGCCCTGGTAGTGGAATCATGGAACAATGTCACGTGATCACAGAACACGTAGAGCGAATGAGTTTCATGTCAGCGCTTTCTACTGAGATCACAGTTTATTTACAATATAAAGTTTACGTTGCGACATTCACTTCTCTTTCTTGTGCTAATTCCCCGCAATACGTCTACAAGTGGTGGAAAATCTAAATCATGTCGAATATGCGAACAACAATAGCAGAATTACAAGGAGTAGCGCCTGGACTTATCAGCGCTGTTAAAGATTTGACTACAAATGTTAATCATGTTACTCAAACTGTCGGCGACATAGCCCATGCAGTTCCTGCAGCTCCTAATCCAGATAATACACAAGGCCTTCGCATGCCTTTCATGCAGCTTCCTTCTTTTCGTCGAGATAGCGTGGTACAAGACGACATTTCCGAATTCCTCGAGCACTTCACTCAGCAGACATCGCATCTTCCCGCCAAAACAAGGTTGTCGCTTCTGGAACAACAGTGTTGGCCAAGATCTGTGTTGTCGATCGCTAAAACTATAGAAGGCTATGAAGGAAAAGCGGCAGAGGAAAAGCTTAACATTTGTAAAGCGAATCCAAAAAGACAAGTGCCGCCGATTAGCAGCCGAGTTAAGTGCCATTCAACAAGAGCGTGGTGAAATAGTGGAACAGTTTGCGTTCAAATACAAGAAGATACTGCATCAGCTGGAGAAACTTGGCATTGCAAAAGATTGTCCCACCTTTGTTATTTCACAGTTTATTTCTAAAGTCAGTCCCACTATTGCTCAGCAGCTCGTTTTGAAAGCATCAGAACTTGAAACGCTCGATAAGACCGTGGAAGTGGCTCGTCGTGTTGAGTTGTCATTTCAAACTCTGTCCAATGCCTCGAATGCAAATACGTCCTGGATGAATGGAAAGTAACACTGAATGCGTTTGTTTCTTCGACTACCCCTGTAAAACCTCAATTGCAAAATCAGCACCCTCAACGACAACAATAGGCTTGTTATACTTGTGGAGAGACAAACCATCTGTCACGATCCTGTCCTAAATATCGCAAAGAGAATTCCACGCAACCCGAGATCTGCAGAAATTACAATTGTTTTCCCAAGTCCAACTGCGAAGAAGACGGCAACAAATGCAAGTACGGCCGGGAACACCAGTGCCAATTCTGCAATAAATGGGGCTGTAAAGCCACCAAACATCCAGAAAATCGTCCATTAAGTACATTGTGTAGCACTACATCTGATGACACCCAGTTAATTCTGATCAGCCATCATTATCTACCCCTTTGTTTGGATTACCTGCCGTTACCATCTCTGCACCTTCAGCAAAGCCAGAAGCTCAGTTACATCAGCGTAACATTCTGTGGACCTCTGTTACATCTGCAGGTCAGCGCTTGCCCTTGCCATTGGATAGCTGCTGTTCTGTATCGCTTGTGAGCAAACTCTATGCTGATTTTATAGCCTCCAAACGACCCAATCTCAAGTATTATCCCCTGGAGGGGCCTATTTCTGCGGATCCAAAGTCTAATATTAAAGCAGTTGCCATCACGGGAATTCCTATCACATGGGAAACAAAAATTGTCCTTACTATGCTAGTAGTTCCAGGTCTTGTCTGGCCAATGCTCTTTGGTGAGAACCACCTCCATGCAACTCGATTAAGCTTTGCTTGATCATTATGTACCGTCCATCACCTTTTGGCATCCAAGTATGCAGTTTCTTGTCCAGTGCTCTCTCGATAATCCACTTGAAGGCTTCACAAACGTCTCAGCAGCCAGTGGGTCTTTATCACATGAAAGTGGACCAACAGTGCCAAAGCCACACATCAGTATTACGTGCCTTCTTACCGGGGCACCAACATCGGGTGTTCACAAGCATTCACAATCTCTTCATTGTGGTCTTAACTTTGTTATGTACAGTCTGCGTCACCCTTCCTGCAGCTTTCATGGGATACCAAGTAGCGCGTCAACTGCTTTGGATCGAGGGCAAAGACATTCAAAAAAGGGTTAAAGTTCTCAGTGGTCCCTTTGATCTGAGCCAAATTTCAAGTCATGTGACACCAGAAACTGCACACCCGGGCAGTGATCCATGCTACAATGCACGCCTCGTAGACCTACCTGAGACAACAGATTCAGTCCTTTCAGAAGAAGTTCCAGACATGCACATTACTTACTATACCACCTTAGCAGTGGAATCTAAGTTGAAGAAGACAAGTATACCTGAGAATGTTATTCTAGGCAATGTTAGAGAAATGACGAAGGATGATGATGCTGTTATTGAGGAAGCCGCTGACAATACTGCAAAGCAACTTGCAGATGGATGGCTCACATGGGCAAAAACACAGCAGCCACCCACCACATCACAAGTTCCAAAAAACACTGAACAGAAACCTTGTGACTTAGTCGCTTGTACTCCAAAGCAATGGCAACTTTCAGTCCAAACAAAAGAAATGGAAGCTTCTGGTCTCAACACATCCATATTGTCTCCTTTCTGTGATACCTTCCCAGAATTTGACTGTCAGGGTCATGAGTTTCCTCCAGTAGAAGAACATACCTGTGACCCCTACTAACCTGTTTACACTGATGCTGTATTTCAGGCCTTGGATCTATATGGCCCAGAGTATTCTACTGTTGATGTAGATATTATGAAGGGATTCAAGGAACTTATCTGTCAATATCCTACTGCATTTCTTCTCCCTGGGAGTCCACTCAGAGCTGTCAAAGGGTTTGAACAAAGAATTGACACAGCAGATGCACCTCCCATCTATAGTCACCCATACAAGAAAAGCCCAGAAGAACTCAGAGCAATCAAAACAGAAATCGAACGGATGCTCAAGCTCAAGATAATACAACCGAGTCAATCAGAATGGAGTTCCACATGGATCCTGGTCTGCAAACCTCCAGAAAAGGGTAAACTGCAACCTCCAAGATTTGTGGTGGACTATCGTCACCTCAACAGTGTGACAGGAGGAGATGGTTATCCTCTCCCATCCATCTCAAGTGTTCTGGATGCTGTCAACCAAGGAAAAGTATTTGCAAAATGTGACTTGGTCAGTGGATACTGGCAGATTTCCGTCAGACAGTCAGATCGACACAAAACTGCACTCTGTACAAACCTGGGATTGTATGAATTTCTAAGGCTTCCCTTCGGATTGAAAACAGCACCAAACACCTTCCAGCAGATTTTGAACACTGTATTTGCTGACTATTTGCACAAGCGGCCTGTTGTTTATGCGGATGACATACTTCAGCGGGCAATGACAGAAAAGGAAGCCCTTGAACAGTATTCCCTGTTGTTTGAGAGACTAGTTAAAGTTGGCATGCAGCTGAAACCTTCCAAGTGTATATTCTTTGCAAGGGAAATCGAAATACTGGGACACCGTATCACCTAAGAAAGTCGAACACCGATAAGTAAAGGAGTAGAAGCAATCTTATCAATGCCCACACCAGCTAAAATTTCTGCAGTCAAATGTTTTCTTGGACTCTGTGGATATTTCAGAGACTTTATTCCATGTATGTCTACCTAAACACAAGCCTTGCGATCCCTCCTCAAGAAGGGTGTATCATTTCAGTAGACAGAAGAAACAGCGAGAGAGTTACTAGACTTGAAGCAAGCAATCACTGGCCCTGATGTTATGCTGTTCCATCCTGATTGGAATGCTCCGTTTGAATTACATGTGGATGCTAGCAAGCTTGGATGTGGAGCAATGTTGGCTCAAGAGAAGGATGGCATACTTTGCCCCGTCAGATTTACATCCCAAGCATTTACACCAGCTGAATCACGTTGGACAACTATGCACCAGGAACTCTTTGCAGTGAAATGGGGACTTGAACAGTTTTACTCTTATATTCTAGGCTGAAGAGTTAAACTGGTAACTGATCATGCAAATCTTAAATGGTTGACTACAATGGCACCACAACAGGCAAATGTTGCAAGATTTTGCATGAGTATGGCTGAGTTTGACTTTTTCATCGAACACAGAAAAGGGGAAAGAAACGTCGTTCCTGATGTCCCCAGCCGTCACCCTGCCAAAGAGAACATTCCTGATGATAATGTTGTCATACCTCCAGAGAACGCTGCTATCGCATTTATTTTATCATCATCGCAACCTCAGTTGATGTTCCAAACCACACCCCTGAACTTGTTCGTGGAACATTTAAAAATGCCTATGGCTTGTCTATACAATGCATGTCTTATGCCTCAAACTGATGGCTTCAACACTGTCTGTCTTGCTACAGCTCCAAAGAGAGCCAAGCATGCAAAGGAGTCTCAAGTCAAAAATTCAACCACAAGTCAGACCAAGACTCAAGAAGTCGGTAAATCTCTAGAAAGTTCATTGTCAGACTGCAATTTTCAAGACTTTGAAAATTTCGAATCTTTGAACCACAATCATTCGAGTTTTGCAAAGCAACAAATACAGAATTGCTGTTGCAATCTATTAATCAAGTTTCATACCTCAAATCAAGGTATGTCAGCAACCAAGAACATTCCAAAGGAACATTTGCAGTGGGTTAAACAAATGGCAAAGCACTCGGCTGTTATTGACAGTTTGTTAATGTATCGAGATGAATTTATGGAAGACCCAAATCGCTACCGTATTTTGGTTCCCAATGAAATTAACTTCAGCGTCACCTAAAAGTATACCATGACTCACCAGTTGGTATGCGTCGAGGGTGGGAAGCTACCTACGGATCCCTTTCACATGACTTCTATTGGCAGAACATGGCTAAGCATGTGCGGATCTGGATCAGGCGATGCCCCGCCTGTATCAAATTTAAGTCTACTGATCCCAAACATAGACCGATGCAAATTCGCATCTATGACCGTCCCTTCAACACCATTAGTACAGACTATGTTGGACAATTGCCTACTACCCCAACTGGTAACAAATGGATTCTGACTGTTGCTTGTCCGTACTCTAATTTCTTGCGTGCAATTCCAGTCCCAGATAAACAAGCAACTACTGGGGCACGGGCCTTGTTTAATGATGTCTTCTTGCAGTATGGCTTTCCAGCAGTCTTGCAGAGTGATCAAGGAGGAGAATGGCTTAATGCAGTATTACGCTAGCTAACAAAACTTCTCTCTATTGAACACATTATTACGACTAGTTACTGTCCACGCTCGAATGGAAGTACAGAACGCGTTCACAGATGGTTGAATGCAGCTGTAGGAATTTACTGTGAGAAATATCAGGAACGCTGGGAAGAATTTCTGCAGCCAGCGGTATATGCCCACAATGTATCTCCAATCCCTGGTACAGGTCAAATTACTCCATTCTTCCTGGTATTTGGATGTAATGCACCATCACCAGAAGTCATTACTCTAGACGTACCTGTAGAAACTCTCTCAAGAAGCTCTTATGCAGAGCAGCTTGTGTCTCGTATGTGTGAAGCACAAAAACTGTTTAACAGCATCAAAGCAGATATGAAGAGAACTCAAAGAGAATACTATGATAAATCATCCAGAGAACTTAACATAGCTGAAGGAAAGCAAGTTTATGTTAGAAGACCACCTCCAAGTTCACAACCCAAAGGATCAGCCACATGATTCATCCGTAGATTTGATGGTCCTTACACTGTTATAGGACATGTTCACGGTCTCCAGGATCTGTTACGACTTCAACACAAATTCACTGAGGATGAGCTTAGAACCGTAAACATTGAAAAGATCATTGTTGTGCCAGATGAACTTTCAGAAGAAGCTTCTGATCTCAGAAATTATGAAGACCAACCACCTAACCCACAGGCTGTTACCACTCCACAATGACCCGCCCATAAGTGCACAGCAATTGATCCTGATTTAGCAAAGTTAGCATTTTCTTTTGGACAATATCTGAATAGTCTACCAGGTGCAAAGGAATATGCCTCAGAGGCCTGCAAAGTGGTGTACCAACAGATTCCCGATGGCCAGGAAATTTTTGAAACCTTATGGAAAGCTAAAAGGACTGATTTCAAAGTGCCCTGATCTATCTATGTCTGGCAGATCACATGGTGGAACTTATATATTAACACTTGATAAAGACATGTTTACACCTTTAGTTTCCGAAAACTAAAATCCCTTTTAAGAAGGGGTGGGCTTGTGAGGATTTTGGACTGTTAAGATTTTCTTGTTAAAGTGTTTCACATTTATTCATCTGTCAACCTTATTCATCATGTAGGCTTTTGTTGTAAGTAAACTCCTTTTAAAAAGGGATGGACTGTAGTGGAATCATGGGACAACTACGTCACATGATCACAGAACACATGGGGCAAATGAGTCTTGTGTCATGTCAACGCTTTCTACTGAGATCACAGTTTATTTACAATATAAAGTTTGTGTTGCAACATTCTCGTCTCTTTCTTGTGCTAATTCCCTGCAATACGTCTACACCCTGAGGACCACCTCGCTTCTCAGTTACATAGGTCGGACATTAGTATGTCCTCCCAAATATGGCATGACATGGCATGTGGTCAATGGTGTTTAAAGCCAGAGTAACAGGTATAGTACATGAAGATGAAGTGATAAGGAATTCTATGAACATGCACCTCATATTCAGAGGGAGCCATAAGTTCTTCATGCTAAGGGGACCCGCACATTGTACATATACAGGTCGCTTATTTATTACTATGAATGCAAGGCCTCATTACCAACACTTACCTGTTTAAGTCCAAATATCAATCCTACAAGAATTCCTGTGACTATTCCTAACTGATTTAGTACACCAAGAGCACCTCGTAATCTGATTGGAGCAATCTCTGACAAATATACTGGGGCGACAGCAGTATTTACACCTGTTGAAAACATGCACCAGTCAATTTAAATTAGTGTCATCAGTTGTATATTTGAATATCTTATGAACAGTCACAATTATACAAAACGTATTCAAAACAATTTCAATTTCAGTTTTTCTATCAATGTCACATATTCAATTTAAGTAGAGATCTACAGATCCATAGTTTTAAAGGACCTACTCTGCAGAAATAGTTTCGTCTTTCCGAGAAAAACAACATTTTCAGTCTAACCTTCAGACTCAATTTAGCAAGTCCCAACTGGGCTGAAAATTGACCATTTTCATTTGATTTGCACTTTGGAACAATTGAGTGCAGAAAAGTAGTAACACAACCAGCTCATTGCAGAGCTATCCCTCATCCAAAACACACAATTTCAAGAGTAGTGGACTAATCCAATTGTTTGGTGGTAAACAAACCAGAGTATTCTCCAATGTTGAGTTGGTCGGTCAGTGAAAAGGACTGAAGGCTTTTGTGCAAAAAGGGCATACCGTATATAGCATTTTGGGCCGATTTTTATTTTTTTGCAGGATCGAGCTAATTTTTGGCAGACTGACTTGTTTTGACATGAAAAGCATTGTTGCAGTTTTCCGAGCGGCATCTTTTGGAGCTAATCCTTCGAAGGTGGATTTTGACGCGGCGCAAACTTAAACGGTTACTTTTAGCAGCTTCGACAGCATGGTTTTTTTTTAAAAATAGATGTTTTGATTTTTGAAAGAAGTAGAGAAACAGACCGGAAAAAATATCGACCGACCTCGTATCGAACCGGTGTCACGACAAACAAACTCGAATACGGCTTGCGAAGCAACAGTAAGAGAATTGTGTAATTATATGAATAATAAAACTAGCGGCAAATACCACGCTTCGGTGACTTCATCATTTAGCAAAACAAAAGGTTCCTTTTGGTTTTCGCTCAACAAAAGATCTCCAAGATACCCCTGGAAAACTGAGTTTTTTGCATACGTTATTTCTCAAAAACGAAGCGCAAATCAACAAAAACAATTACGCAGCGATTCTTTTCATGTCAAAACTTTGCTTGAATTTTAAGCCATAAAACCAGGTTAGCATGTACCATTTTTTCATTTTACCTAAGAGAGGAGGCCCTAACACTCAGTTATTTGACAGATTCCACCACGTGTTTTTTTTTGGCAGAAGCCAGGCCTACAATAATCCACACCCCACCTGTACCCTGTGTGCAAAGACTTTTGCCGAGAAATATGCTAATAAGAGACACAGAGCAATTGATAATGTCGGCTTATTTGTTAAATTGTTAATTACTGGCGATTTCTGCGTGACAGCAGGTTGAATGACTACATCAAACAACACAACGGACCACAAACGTACAATAGCATAAGAATGATCAGCACTGATTCTTGGGGGATTCAAATTCACTATTTGCATAATGGCCATCTAAACGTAATGGAATACTGTTGAAATGGCAGAAAAGAAATGCTAAATGCTAAAAGCGGTCCACTCGACTTCGGGACCAAAAATAATTTTCCTTCATTTTTTGTCAGTGAAAAGGGTTTGACACACATATATTTTTTGCTTTGCTACGAGCCAAAATTGAATTTCGTTTTCATACGAATTTTAAGGCACATTCATTCGCTGGTAAGCTTAGAATTTTTCGAAAAGTTTTCATATTTCGTCAGTCAAAGTAATGAATGTACCTTAAAATTCGTATGAAAACGAAATTCCGTGAGCTGCAGTTTAGGCGACGTAGCACGCTTCACAAAATCGGTGAATTTTACCTTTCTGATCACGGTCGGCAACCTCAGTTCGGCCAAAATTCAATTTTGGCTCGT